CGATTACAAGGATCTACATATAACCTGCTCCGTGGGGGAGGAGCAGAAAAGTGGGTGAAGGGAAACGTCGGAAAGTGTAAGATATGACAAAATAATAATAATTTATAAATTATCAAAGGTTCCTGAGGGAGGGGGGAGTGGGGAAGGGGGAAAATGAGGAGCTGATATTAAGGGCTCAAGTAGAAAGCAAATGTTTTGAGAATGATGATGGCAAGAAATGTACAAATGTGCTTGACACAATGGATGGATGTATGGATTGTGATAAGAATTGTATGAGCCCCCAATAAAAAGATTAAAAAAGAAAGAAAGAAACACATGAGATATAGTCACAGGGAACCTGAAGCACTTGATAGTTTGGGTGGAAATAAAAGGCTCAGCACTCTTGGATTCTATTACTAATCCAACACTGACAATGTTTGTGACTCTAGGAAAGTTTATTTTTCCTTTGTGTTTTATTACTGACTTCATATGTTAATTATGGGATAGAATTAATAATTTCAAATATAGCAAAAGCCGGAATGTAAGGTGGGAACTATCCAGAGAAGAAAAATTCCCCATACTTTCCACTAAAATGAACAAAAGAAAAGCTGTAACACTGTATCCTGTCAGTGGGGTGGGCATGGGGGGTGGGTATGAAGAGACCCGGAAAAGCACCGCAGTCCATTGTGCTCCTGCTTTCACAGGCTGCAGTGTAGTCCTCTGGACACGCAACAGCGGAAAATGGGGTTTTATTTTTGCTTTTACAAGGAAGCACACTAATACGCATATTTCTCAAATACTGAACTTCTCTCTTGATTAAAAATATCTCCACAACTCCATAAAGTATTTACATGTATTTAGTAAACAATTTCTGATACTAGAGCATAATTAATTCCCCATCTCCTCCTTAATTATAATAGGTTTTTACATTTCTCTGGTAGAACCCTCAGTGGTAGAGAGTACGATATAATTTTATGATGTTGGGTAATGTTGATAAAAAGAAGTCCTCAGAATAGCATTATTAGAATTGTTATAAAAAATGTAATATAAAGAGGCAGAAGTTGGGTTACAAAATAGAATAATATATGAACCACTTATAAAACTCATCGCTATTCAAATATTTTCTGATTAACAATAGCTGCTAGCAAGTCCACTGCATTGTTTTTATAGATCTTTCTCGATTATAATGAAACAAAAATATTAGAAAACTTGCAAAATGTCAGTCACTCAATTGAGGTAATATGGGAAAACTTGTATCAAAAGCAAAATGACTGATCAATGAAAATCTGGCAGTTAGAATAATTAGATGAAAAAAATGACAGAATAGTGATACCACAGAAAGTGAGTATGATATGAATACCAAAACACTAAGAGAAGTCTTTGAGAAAGCAGTAAAGCTTTTAATTATTTTTGCAATAAAAGCCTTTTCAGAATCCTGCACAAAACAAATATCAAATGAAGGATGTCTTATTTTACTATTACAAGATTTTACTGGAAAAAATATGAACAATTAAGTAATTATTTTCTCATTCTAAAATTTAGTATTTGAGTACAATTATAATCCAACATTTGCTCATTAAAAAAATAAGATAGTTGTTTCAAATTTATTTTTTAGTTTTGCTTTTCAAAGTTGTGATCAAAAGCCTTTTTCTCATTATCTACTATGAAATTTAGGCCCCATTTAGATCCTCTTTAAGTTGCCTTTCCCTGTACTAATTATCTGCAGATAATGAGGACTTCTTGTAAAACAATCTGCTCAATGACAATTAACCATTTCCAAAACACTAAGCCATTTCCAAGACAAATTATTATTGGTTTAAATATCAACAATTTTATACATTGTAAATTTGTGCTCCTATTATAAACACTAAAAAAAGGTCTTTATTAAATAATAACATAAATTGTGAACTTAAAATATCTGGAATATTTTTTGTAAACTGAACAATAATCATGCCCAAAGACTTAATTTTATACTTTGTAACATTGTGCTCATATTGTAAACACTAAAGAAAAGTCTTTATTAAATAATAAACATAAATGGCAAATGTAGAAGATTTTGGCTATTTTTTTGTAAACAACAATAATCATACCCAAAGACTGGCACATCCATGGCTTTTCATTTGAATATCACTAACGAGATCGGCCCAGTGATTACAGTCTTCAGCTGCTAACTAAAGGGCCAGCAGTGATGACCCACCGCTATTCTGTGTGAGGGAGTGGGGCAGTCTGCTTTCGTAAAGACTTACAGCAGTTGTACTCTGTCTTACAGGGTCCCTATGATTTGGAATCAACTCCCTAGCACTGGGTTAGCCTGTTTATTAAATATGTTTATAAAATACACTCCATTACTGTGTTCTTGTATGAAATAGGTTATAGAATATAATAATTGATATGCTCAGGCTTACCATCGACTGCATGGAGAGAAGTAAGAGATTCCTCACTCTTAGCTGAGCGAAGAGTTCCTTCTGCCCTGCCACCTAAAGAATCACAACCAAATAATGTGCTCTTATTATTTGTTTCATATGAAGGGAAGGAAGATTAGGCTTTTGTTTCCTGTACGTGTGTTTAAACTCCCCATGTGGTGTACATGTCGACAACGGCTGCAAGTCTAGCACCTTACACAGTGCGCTGCACTGCTCTCCACTGTCTGGTAAGTGAAGAAAAATCTCTTTTCCAAAGGATCATGAACTTGAGAATAGTAATTCAAGTACGTCTTTCATATTTCCTAAAGATCATAAAATGGTGCTGTAATGGGATTACTAGTATTCCCCCACCCCACAAAATTAATTTCTATCTGGAACCTCAGAATGTGACCCTATTGAGAAACACTGCCTTGATTAAGTTAAAGATCACAATATTGTAACATACTAGATTGGTGTCTTCTTAAGAAATGGAGAGGGCATAGAGATATGGCCATGTAAAGACTGAGGCAGAGATTGGGAGTTATGTTCCCAAATGTCAAGGAGTGCCTGGAGAAGTGTATAGACCTTTAGACGTGTATAGATCTAAATGGAGGATAAACATGTTGATAAATAGTAATTTCACTTTTTGATATGTTTGTTTAATAACAATTTCTATGAGTTTGTAGCAATACTTTTTATAATCCATGTAGTTTCCATAAGTGACAGAGCACTTCTACATATGAAAATGTCATTTATTTCTAGTTCCTTTGTATTTAGGGGTAAAGAATTGGTAGAAGATCATTCATACAAAGAAGCATACTATGGATATTTTATATTGAAGCCTGGCTGACATCACATGAAACGTGTGTCCACAGTAAGAGGAGCTCTCAGAAAGAGCTGAACGGTGCCCCCACATGGCACCAACCTTTCAGGGCCATGGTTTTCATCTCCGAAGGCTCACTCTCGTTTCGCTGCAGCTTCCGTTTGGAAGCAGATGACGACTTCCCCAAATTGAAAAAGGAACGCCAGCTGCCCACGGGGGATTTTTTCATTTTATTTTGAGGCCTTTTCCTGTGACAGAAGAAAATATTTAATTCACATTATGATATTCAAGGGAGCATCTATATCTTCCCTTAAGAAAAATAAATGGAGAAATAATGGAAAGTACAAAACAGCTTAGAAAGGTGCAGTTAAAATAGTAAACAGCTCTTTGTCTTCCATATAGTGTACAAGATACAATACAACTAAAGCAACACTGGAAACTAAGCATTTATGGTCTAATATTAGTAACTACCTTCACACAAAGATAATTTCGGTTCATAAAATATCTAGATGTAAGCTTGTAATCTGGGAAATAAGTAGAAATAAAAAAAATTTCTGAGATGCCTAAGTAAAACAGTTAAGGATTTTACTTTCGCTGTGAGTAGAAACACTAAGGTTAAAGAGAAGGAAAGTGTTAATAATAAGAAATGGCTGGCACATTATCTGCATATAAGCCATATGTGGATATGTAGATAATAATTCTCCAGTTTATGGCTGAAGAAATTAAGATACTAAGAAGATACTAACTTCTTAAATGTATAATATTAGTAAATGGTGCAGTTAGGCCTGAACCCAGCTCTATCTTAACCAGTTAATAGTAATACTAGTACTGGTGGTACAAAGGTTAAGCATTGGGTTGCAAACCAAAAAGGTCACCAATTTAAACTCACTAGTGGCTTCTTGAGAGAAAAACCTGGTGATCTGTTCCAGTAAAGATGACAGCAAAGGAAACCCTATGGGGCAGCTCTGCTGTCAGATAGTTGGAATCGACTGGATAAAGAGACTTTTCAACAAACTATGAGGGCAAAGTATAAAATGAAACAGCTGAAGATAACTTTTCGGTGGCAAAGCAGAAGAGTTTTCATGGCATTTTTGGTCATGTGACATGAATGGAAGTTAATGGGGATATATAGAATGTGAAAAGAATACACCCAAAATTAGAACACACCCCAAATTATTAGCACTACCCAATCCATGACATTGGAATCTTTACATTCATAAGTAGTCCAGAGAGTAGCAGAGACACCAAAAAAATCCTTTTATATACATTAGTCTTTATACTTTAACTTAGTTGAGATAATACAGAAGCCATGCAATCATTATCATTTCCTGAAGGAAACAGACTTTTAGAACTAGAAGGAACATTAAGAGCAAATGAGTAAGTCTTAAACTTACTTAAACTATCCAAATATAGTTTAAGACTATCCAAAGTCTTAAACTATCCAAATCACCTTTTCAAAAGACCAATGGCTAAGCTCCACACCCAGAGTTTCAGCTCAGTGGTCCAAACATGAGCTTAAGAATTTGTATTTTTAACCATTACCACATGATACGGAGGTTGTTGATCAGCAGACCACACTGGGAGAACTATTTTGACCTTCATGTGGAATTAATGGCAAATAAATTCATTGGGATCCATCCACAATGAATATAAAAAATAAACCCACTGTCATTCAGTCAATTCTGACTCATCAGGACAGAGTAAAACTGTCCATTAGATTCCCAGGGCTGGGACTCTGCATGAAAGCAGACCACAGCATCTGTCTCCCTTGGAGTAGTTGGTGGGTTCACAATGCTAACTTTTTGGTTAGCAGTCAAAGATGGAACCACTTCACTACCAGGGCTCCTTAGAATCAATATAGTAACACTAAAATACACAATTACAAGTGAGATAAAAAATACATGGCCATAAAAATCATATTATGACAAAGATTTAAAACACATTTTACCTTTCAAGTGGAAACTCAATTATAGTATGAAATTTTCCCTGAAGTGCGGCAGGTCCTTCTCCTACTTCAATATATTTGTTTTCAGTCACAATTGGAGAATTAACCTGAGCTTGTGTTCGTGCCTGGGCTTCCTCCAGTGTCAGCAGCTTGGTGGAGGGAGAAGAAACCAGCAGAGACTGGGGTCTTGATAGAGAAGCTTTTGATGACAAAGGAAAGGAATGGAAGATTTCACGCTTTAGCACAGCAAGAGAAATGTGTGTCTAAAATCTGATTTGTCTACCCACCTATTGACTTATTTGTGCTGTTTTACATTTTCTTCATTACCTTTTTAATGGCAAAAGTATAGTCCTTTATATTAAGTAAGAAATAGAAGGTGACATATCCAGTTGTTAACATGACATGTATTTTTAAAATTCTTTAAGCAGTTTAACTATTTTCCTGTCTCAATAGAAACCAGAAAAAGGCCATAACATAGCTCTCTTTATTTCTGGAAAAAGTTTTTTTCTTCTGGTCGATATTACAACTTTTATATACAGGTGTTTATCATACAGATGGATATAACTAAGTCGAACATGTAATATTCACTTCATACATATAAATCATTGCTAAATTTTGCATTCTGAAAAAAGAAATTTAGATCAGCTATTCACAACTTTCTATTCTTTTAGAAGCAGACAAAAATGCACATTAGCACTACCTGCCCCTTCCTGGATGACTGCACTGATTCTGCCACTGAAGAGGACATCCACGTGATTGAGGATAAATTCCACAACCACAGACTGAATTCTCACTTCCATGAACGCCGCCGTCCCACTGAAGCAGGCTGATTCTATCTGCTTTGATCTGTGAGGTAAAAATGCTTCCATGAGAGAGTCACAAAGACAGCAGTCTTAAGGACATTTCTTTAAAATGTGTAAATTACCAACAAATTTGAGAAAGAAATCATACTTTTATAGTTCCCCGACTAAGCTCCAATTACAACTTTTATGTAACTACACATAATAAAAGAGCAGAACCATTTCCATTTTAGGAAATTTCCCTAAGAAACACTGATGAATACGACTTTTATTTAGGATGATTAGTGCTACATAAGGTCTGAGGTCAAAAGTAAGTTACCTTAGGAGGTTTGGAGCCCAGACTATCGCTAGGTTTTTTGCGTGCATGTTTGTGATGGAGCAATAGTCAGCTAGAAGAGACAAATGCCTCATCAGGAACTCCAGAGTTCTGGAAAACGAAGTACAACAGATTAGCAGAAAAATAATATTGTATACTACCACAGAACATAGAAAAGTCTATGATTTTTCCATAGCAAAATGGGAGAAAAACTTTATACAATAACAGCAAATGATTTTCCTGTTAATTATGTTTGAATATTATTGTTACACAAACTTGTGAGAAGAATGTTGTGGATATACAACAAAAATCCAGATGCAGTGAGAAATGAACCTAAGATAAGACTGGCTCTGAGAAAAGTAGCCTCTGTTTTTATCCAATAAAACATCAGGGATTTTGTTCCTGGCTAACAGATATTTAATGTCAGGGATACAAGTAAAGTAAATTCTCCACAAAAGCTAGCTTCTGCACTAGACACTAACATCGGTGATGCTGTCCTATGGTGAGCTTCAAAGAGTTCATGGAAACATCCTAGTGTCTTTTAATTCTACTTTTCTTTTTTCCATAAACTTTTTGAAGCCCCCTCATAACTGTAGCAGAAATACTAACAAAAAAGGATTTACATTCTCATGGGAAATAAAACAATGTGTAACCAGTTGAGAAGTAATTGCAAGGAAAACTCCAGTAAGCCTCAAGGGAGAGCACTTTGGCAACTAGTAAGCTTTTGAATGAAACTACCTACTTCAAATCTAATACTTTAATTTATTTTTGTTCGTTCTCAGTTTTCCTTACTTAAATAGTCCATATATACATTGGGGTTAAGTAATAGCGCAAAGTTGAATTATGTTGTGAAATAAAGTATAATCAGCTTAAATATAACACAAAGCACACACATAAACACTCACAGGTATTATCTATCAGTTGCCGTGTTTTATCAAAGTTCCCTACCTGTGAAGTGGACAATGGTGGACCAAAAGAGGGAGAATAGAAATCAAGGAGCAGGGGAAAGGTAAAGTATTGGAGCGTTTGATTAGTAGTTTAAACTGTTGAATACAAAGTTGATGATCTGAAACGTAAACCAGTACCTAATTTACAATTTTTTAAAAGCCTGCCAAATAGGGAGATAAACTACTAAAGACAATGAATCAAAGACAGCAATTTAAGACTTATTCCCTGAAATAATCTTTTAAATGAAAGTTAAATCCGGGCCCATATTTGTGCTTTAATGATTCAGATGGATCTCACAAGAACTTGAGAGAAAAGGAAGATTAAAGAGATTTTGTTATCATTGTTCAAGAAAACTATTTTTTATCATAGTTCATGATGGTTTTCCAGGTTCTCATTGAGTTCTCACTTGTTAGGTGCCCTGAATCAGTTCCAACTCAAAGTGGCCCTTTGCACAACTGAAAGAACACTGCCTGGCCCTGTGCCACGTTCACAATTGTTCTTGTGCTTGAACTCACTGTTGCAGCCACTATATCAATCCATCTCATTGAGGCCCTTCCTCTTTTATTTTTGCTGCCCCTCTACTTTACCAAGAACGATGTCCTTCTCCAGGGGCTGGTCTCACCAGACAACATGCCCTCGTATGTGAGACAGAATGTCTTGCCATCCCTTCCTCTAACGAGCATTCTGGCTATCCTTCTTCTAAGATTGTTCTTTTGGCAGTCCACGGTACTTTCAACATTCTTTGTCAGCACTGTAGCTCACAGGCATCAATTCTTCTTCAGTCTTCCTTATTCAATGTCCAACTCTGACATGCATACAAGGCAACTGAGGAAAGATACCATGGCTTGGGTCAGGCATAGCTTAGTCCTCAAATTCTTAGCAGATTTATCCAATGCAATGTAACTTGAGTGCTGTTTCCATAAACATTGATTGTGGATCCAAGCGAGACAAAATCCTTGACAACTTCAGTCTTTTCTCTGTTTATCATGATGTTAACTATTGGTCACGTTGTGGAGATTTTGATTTTGTTTACATTGAGTTGTAATCCATCTGAAGGCTGCAGTCCTTAATCTTCATCAGCAAGTGCTTCAGGTCTTCCTCACTTTCAGCAAGCAGGGTTCTGTCATGTGTGTATCTCAGGTTTCCACTAACCCTTCCTCTAATCCTGATGCCACATTCTTCTTCAAATAATCAGCTTACCTGTTTATTTGCTCAGCATATAGACTGAATAAGTATCGCGAAAGGATGCACCTGTTCTGTTTGCAGAACTGCCTCCTGATCCACGTAGAGGTTCCACAAGAGCATACGAAGTATTCTAGAATTTCCATTCTTCTCAATGTTACCCATAGTTTGTTTTGATCCACATAGTCAAATGCCTTTTCATAGCCAATAAAACACAAGTAAACATCTTTCTGATACTCTCTGCTTTCAGCCAAGATCCATTTGGCATCAAAAACAGTATCCCTGGTTTCACCTCTTCTTCTGAATCTGGCCTGAACCTCTGGCAGCAATGTACTGCTGGAACTGTTGTTGGATGATCTTCAGCAATATTTACCTGCATCTAAAATTTTGTTCTCACTTAGTTTAGTTTTCACTTAGATTATATAAATGACCCTAAATTTTGCTGATACAAAAAAGTATCAACATCCCCATTTAATGGTGAAGTGGCAGTGATATGTTTCAAATCAAGGCAAGCTGGGTTCCAAAGCTCTGATCATTCAGCACCAACTATTTTAACTGCTCTACGGTGAAAGCCAAAATTATCTGTTCTTCTTACACATAGTTAAGATGGAAAGGCACACAGACAGGTAAAAGTGAGACTAGCCTTGAGGCTATACTGAAATATTAAAGTTTGGAACTATGTTTAGAAAACAATATAATGGGGGGGGGGTGTTAAGAGGGTGCTAAAAAAGAAAAAAAACCAATATAATATTACATTCATTATTCAGAAGAGAGAGAGTGGGTGAGGGAAAGGAAGTATTCTTCCACGAGACTCTAAATGTTTAGGGGAGCAGATAACCTCACCTTTCTCCAGAGGAGCAACTGGAGGATCTGAACTGCTGACCTGGCAGTTAGCAACCCAGCACTTAAATCAACCCACACATGCCCAGGGCTTCTTGGGAAAATTTAAGGTATGTAAGAAATTTATTTTTCAAGAAACACAAATTTAAATGACCAAAGCTAACTTTTGTTCATCAACTGTAACAAAATCAAGAAACAAATGTAAAATGAAAAGGTAAAAAAACATACAAAAACACAAAGCTTACTCAACTATGCATCTGTTTGTGACTCAATTAATTCGATATTTATTAAATGTCTAATAGATGCCAAGCACTGTGCCCAATCCCAGTACACAAATAAACATAAAGCCATATATTTATTAATATAATTTGTTGGCAGAGCTTGTATGTATGTGACACTTCCTAGAAGTTTAAATAATTGAAAGCCCAAAGAGAAAAATTAGTTTTATATATCACTTGAATTACACATTGGCTGGTATTTTAAAACATGTAGTTTACCTGTAGTGTGGAGGGGGGAGTTGCTGGATGACATCATGAATTTTTATCAATCTTTCTTCATCTGTTGCTGCTGAAACAGCATCCTGTAAGAATCACAATGCAAAGTAAACCAGTAAGTTGTCTTTTTAAAATGAAAAAAAGGTCTTCATTTACAATTCAGTTTTCATTCTGTGATTACTTCATTCTACTCTTTGATGCTAAATGAGAAACACAATACAGAAACAAGGAAAGTTTCCCACATCATGTGGGCATTAAAATTATATCTTTAAAAATACAGGTTTTTTCCTAAAAGCTTGATGGCAATCAATATTAAGGAAGATTAATGGCTCAAAGTCAGAAAACCAAAATAATAACAATGTGAAAACAGCAAAGACCATGGACCAGCTAGCAATGACTATTTTGAAAAATGAAAAAGGGAGCCCTTTAAGCAACAGAATTACCTTTTGCATAGTACCAAAGCAATCTTTATGATCTTTAGAAGAAAATCACAACAAAGCTCCAAAAGAACTTAATTCAAAACTACCTGGTACTTACAGAAAATTTCTCATATAGTTGATACGTGAGCAGTGGGTTTGGGAGTTCTCGGAAATACAGCTTACAAAGTGAGCCCACAGAATGAATGTCTTGAACATAAGGTTCTTTTGTCAGGTCGGGAACATGCTCAGAGTCAAATTCATGGCTAAGAAACACAGGTTAAAGAAACACCACAAAATGATCTCAATGAAGAAAAACACGATGCAGAATAAGAAATTAAAAGTCAAATATCTTGACCTCTATCTACCTTGTAAATTATATTTGAACTCCTAGAGTAGGTGAAGGTTTGAATATAAAACAAGTATCTTTTGACATGGAAATTAAGGATATGACTCTAATATTAAAATGAACATTAATTTCTAAAACTCATGTGAATAAGCAACTCTTACCACATCAAACTGTAAACAAGATTCTTAATTTCTAACATCGTGGTGATTCTAAAAACTTTGGGCTGAGTGGTAGCTGGTCATGAACAAATATGTACAAAAATTGCTCAGAAAAAAATGGTATAGTTCAGGAACCCTTTATTAAAGAGAAGGTGGGAAGTCAAACTCCATACGGAGTAATTCCAGGCAAGGTGCACATTTTGGTGCTCAGTGAAACCTGTAGCATTGAACTGAATGAAATAAAAGTTGGGTTCAGAATACTGAAGCAGATTAAGTTCCCTTCCTTCAGGAGGTCAATTAACATTAGATCCGCAGACAGGGCAGGAATATACTAGAAATCAAAGCACAGGGTCAATCTGAATATGAGATTTGTTATGACTGAAGGCAAAGACTGAAACAGTCCTTAGTACAAGATCCAAATTAAGGTTTGTTTTTTTTCTAAATAGGCATTCCTGAAAACATGTAAGTCTTTAGAGAAAGGCACTAAAGTCCATTATAACCACTATAAAATCATAGTAATTAGCATGCACCACAGTAAAACAGACAGAATAACAACATATGAAGAATAGAGTAGAATCCAAGAAGATAAGTGAAAGTAAAATCTCTATTGCTAGTGTAAGAAACCACTTAATTCATCTCTGAGAAGAAGAGGGGGAGGGTGTAGAGTATGTAACATATTCATACCAGAGCATCAACTACAAAAAGAAGGCAACAGAGATTAGAATACGTTTCATTTCAATAAATTTTAATTACGAAATTCAGAAACAAAAAGATAAAAAAATCCAATTAAAATATGGACAGAAGACATAGAAGGGGATATTCAAGTAGCTGGCAAATAAGTGTAAATTAACTATGATCATTAGGCATTAGAAAGATATAAATCAAAGTAACAATGAAATAATATCTCATCCTTGGAAAATTGTCACCGATTTTAAAAACACACACACAATAGAAACAAAAAATAAATGCTGGTAAGGTTGTGAAGAGACTGGCACCCTTATTAACTACTGGTAGGATTGTAAAATAGTAAAACCACTATGGAAAATAGCATAGCCCTTCTTCAAAAAGCTAGAAATTTAAAAAAATCCTATGATCAAGTAATCCTACTTACAGGTGAAAACCCTCAAGATTCAATAGAAGTGACACGAATAGACATATGTACATTTATCTTAATTACAGCACTATTAACAAGAGCAAAAAGATGGGGAGAAAATGATAAATGAAAGAAAAGATAAGCAAAATATGATACCTACATACAGTGGAATAGTATGCAGCCAATAAGATAAATCATTGAAACATTGTAAAAAAACAACAACACCAAAACATAATTTTGGATATTTTAGTGAATGAAAAAATATCAGAAAAGGACAAAAACGGAAAACTCTTTAAAAAGAAAACAAGAATAGATATAAAAGAGATATTCAAATGTTTGTGGAAAATTTCCATTTTTCCGTTAACTTTTTGAAGCTCCCTTGTGTACTCAGAGATCATCGTCCCTCGGTTGCTACTAGAGATGGGTGGGAAGGAGCAGTGGAAAGCATTCTCAAGATAGGAGACAGTTGAAGTTTTAGTGATGAGAATGGTAGCACGGAATATGGGTGAAGCGCACACAGCTTCAAAGCAAATGATTTCACTAAAGTGTACAAGGGAAAAGGATGTCTTTAGTAAGGGATATGACACATATAATTTGAAAATCATACCAAATCCCCCAAAATGTGTGGTCTCACAAATATAAATAAAGGCATATAAGTGTATCAGTAGGAATATGAATATGTGGGTTTATGTGTATCTATAAAGGAGCTCTGGGTTAGGCATTAGGTCTATTATATCTGGGTTAGACTACAAGGTCGTGATTCAAGGTCAGTGACTCAAACTCACCAGCTGCTCTGTGAGAGAAAGATAAAGCTATCTGCTCCCAGTCTTCTTATATGTAAGATAACTATGAGTTGACTCCATGGCTGTGAGTTTTTTGGTGGGTGGGGTGGGGGGATTTAGGTTGTATAGTGGATTATGTGTTAGGTTACTACCTGTAGGGTCAGCAGTTCCAAACCACCAGCCATTCCTCCAGAGAAAGAGGAAGCTCTCTAATCCCTTAAAGAGATATAGTCTTAGAAACCCACAGAGACAGTTCTATATCATCCTATAAGGTTGTTATGACTAAAAATTGACCCAATGGCAGTGAGAGGTATATGCACATGCAGGTGTGTGTGTGCACACATATATATCTGTATATAATAATAAACCACCCAGATGACTCCGTTACAGATATTCCTTAGACATAAGCATTCACTTCACAAGATCAGGGATTTTGGAGACTTAGGAGCATAGTCTTATGGGACAACTCAGTGAATTAGCATAACAGTTTATAAAATATAAGTTCCATAGCTCAATTTGGTGAGTAGTGTCTGGAGTCTTTAAATCTCGGGACAGGCTTCTGCGATGCAACTACTGAGCTCTACTTATCTGGAGCAAAAGAGAAAGAAGGAAAACAAAGACCCAGAGAAAGAGCCACATGCATGTACCGAAAGAGTGGCACATGGCTCACAAGGTGCAGTTTGCCAACCCCTGCACTAGATGGATTCTTACAGAGTAAGAGAAAAATATGGGAAAGCAATGTCTTAAGTCCCTTGAGCCCTCCCTCAACACAAGAATACTGTTCTAACAACCTGGCATTCTGTGATGCTCATCCTCCCAGCATGATCGCTGAAGACAAAAATGGGTGCATGAGCAAATGTAGTGAAGAAATATGACAATGCCTGGATATCAAGACATAGCATCTGGGGTCTTAAAAGCTTGAAGCTAAACAAGTGGCCATCTAGTAGAGAAGCAACAAGCCCATGTGGAAGAAGAACAGCCTGTGTGACCATGAGGTGTCGACAGAATCAGGTAACAGGCATCAGAAGACCCCAAACAAAAACCAAAAAACATTGTTGAGAACAAGGAGGGTTGGAGCAGAGATCCAAAGCCTATGTGTAGACAATAGAACATCCCCTCACAGAAGGGTCACAAGGAAGAGATGAGTCAACCAGGGTGCAGTATAGCACTGATGAAACACGCAATATTCCTCTGGTTCTTTGAGGCTTCCTCACCCCCCACTATCATTACCCCAGTCCTACCTTTCAGTTCTGTCTAGACTAGAGCATGTACACTGGTACAGATAAGAGCTCAAGACACATGGGACCATGGTCAGAGAAACCCCTAAGGAACAGAAATGGTACTAGTAATACCAAGACTGATTTTAACATTGGTAAAGCAGGACACCATTGATAAAACTGATATCCTGGTAAAATAGCCACATGGCAACCAAAAACCCTATACCTTAGCTTGTGGTGCATTCTTTCCAAAAATCGGGACTTTTTAAAAATGCTGCGGGACACGGGAAAAATTGTTAAAAATTGGGACTGTCCCACCAAAAGCAGGATGTCTGGTCACTTTAACCAAGAGGGTAGGGAGAAAGGGGGAGGAAAGGGAGAAACAATTGCAATGATGGGTATATAACATGCCTCCCACCTCCCTAGGGGGATAAAAAACAGAAACATGGGTAAAGGGACACAGCGGCAGTCAGTGTAAGATATGAAAATAATAATTTATTAGGGGTCATGGAGGGGGGGAGCCGATACCAAGGGCTCAAATAGAAAGTAAGTGTTTAGAAAATGATGATGTAACATATGTACAAATATACTGATAAAGTTGATGTATGGAATGTTATAAGAGCTGCAAGAGCCCCTAAAAAAAAAAAATCTCATTTTATGGGACCAGCAGAGACTAGTAGACTCCTTGGGACAATCACTTTGAGATATACTTTAAGCCTAAAACTGAAATCATCTTTGCGGTCATCTGTTAGCTAAATAAAAGATTGGATCATAAAATAAAGAATGCCATACAGAAGTAGTGATTTCCTTTTTATGAAAACCAAAACAAAACACAACTATATGAAACCAAATAGTCAAAAATTACTCTGAAGCAAACATGAGACCATAAGTGAGCAGGGAAATTAAGAATACTGGATATGGTACAAACAGAACAGAATAAATGAGACTAATGATGTGCTTTAAAAAAAAGTAATAGGTAGTACTGAATAGTCTGTAGAAACTATTCAATAGGAACCTAATTTACTATAACAACTCTCACCTTAAACAGAACAAAACAGGTTTTAAATGACTAATTATGAATTAAAAATAATTCTATTATACTATTGGAGGGGCAGTGAATATTGAAGGTGACTTTTTAGTCAAAGTCCCTAACTTTCACCAGACAACCTTTCCTGCATGAGCATGGTTAAGAGGGTGGGGGAAGGTACTGATAGGGTTCACATGTGATTATGAACAGGATGCCCCGCAGTGTCATCCTGATGTGTATAAAGTGAGCCTTCTGAGAAGCAGGAGGAAGCTTATTATCAGCAAGAACCAGGAGTGGAACAGATCCTCTAGACCTGAGATCCCTGCACAGTGAAGCTCCTGGATCAAAACTCATCAACAACAGATCAATGCTGACTCATAGTGACCCTCTCTGGGTTTCCAAGATTGTAACTGTTTATGAGAGTAGAAAGCATAGTCTTTCTCCAGAGATGCTGCTGGTGGATTTAAATTGCCGACCATGTGGATCACAATCCAATGCCTAACCACCACACCACCAGGTCTCTGGTTCCAGAAGATAGCTATACCATCAAAGGAGGCATAGCAGCAGAACCAAGAATAGAACATGGAACAGAGTGATGAACTTCCCAACCCACAGAGCAAGTTGACTGCTTTTGTGCAGGAGGCTGGCTTGTGGAGTGAGGTGTTTCTAGGCACTTAATTGGGGATGTTGGACTTGTTAACCCACGGACGTGGAGCTGAATGCCTTTGGGCTAAAGCTGACTGGATTGGGGGTGCTTCTGGACACTTAATTCAAGGAGCTGGGTTTGTTAATTCATAGCTTAATTTAAGCTAAAATACCTTTTGGGTTGAGGCTTATAGCAGAGTGGTATGCCCTTTGGGGCAGACCTGACAGAACTTTGTGACATACTCTAATAAACAACTCAACCATGAGCATTTCTCAGAGGCATTACAACTTGTTAACTTCCTTAGTAAACTCTAATCAAAATAGGATAAAGAAGTTTAGACAGCAGTTTTCTTACAACACAGATGAACAGAGGGCAGTTAGAAAAATATGTAAGACAATATGGATACTATTTCCTTATTTACCCCAAATATGTACTTGATAAAATTGTTATTGAAATAGTGCAATTTTTAAATAATTTAATTTTAGTGAGTTAAATTAGGAATGAAAAAGAAAAATTGCATGTAAGATTTTACCGTAATCTCTGGATATTGGAGGCAACACCTGAGAGACGATATATTCCATCCACAATGCCATATCTCTCAATGAATGCTGTACAGCTTTGAAGAACCTGGGGCACTAAAGAGAAGTTTTAAAGGCATAAATTAAGTTGGTAGTATTTTCCAGAACCAAAGTCATCCCTAAAATGAGAGTCATTTCACTTTCATAAACAAAATAAATTTTTTAAATTAAAGATAAAAGGGTGTGGTAATTGACCAGGGGAAAAATGATAGGGAAGTTTTACTTGTTTTATATCTAAAGAATTAGTTCCTCAATAAACCATTTTATTAGGGCAAGTTAAAGAGACCATATATATCATTAGGACACGCCCTCCATCTATCTGTGCAGTAGACCGATTGAGGTCATGTTACAACAGCAAATGCGCTGTGCAATACTAACTGCGTACCAAATTTCTAAAAAGGCTAACTGTACAGTTGGATTCTATACATAGTGATGAGGTACATAATTTTAAATGCTTACCCCCATGCTAATTTTTTTTTCACTTTTAAAGCAAGCTTCCTTTCATCTTACATGTTTTGGTATTGTTGGGTGCTGTTGAGTTGGTTCTGACTCACAGTTAACAAATGTACAACAAAGTGAAACACTGCCTATCACTGTGCCATCCTTATCATTGCTTTTACGTATGAGCCCATTGTTGCAACCACTATGTCCATCTATCGTCTCGAAGGTCTTCCTCTTTTTTGCTGACCCTCTACCTTACCAAGCATGATATCCTTCTCCAGGGCCTGGGGTCTCCTGAAAACAAGTCCAGAGTCCCACCATCCTTGCCTCTAAGGAGCACTCTCGGTATACTTCTTCCAAGACAGATCTGTTTGTTCTTTTGGCAGTCCACAGTACTTTTAGTATTCTTCACCAGCTTCATAATTCAAAATGTAGTGATCCTTTTTCAAACTTCCTTATTCAAGGTCCAATTTCATTTGCCTATGAAACAATGGTCAGGCACAGGGGCCTGGTGGCACAGTGGTTGTGCACTGGGTTTCGAACCATAAGGTCAGCAGTTCAAAACCACCAATTGATCTACAAGAGAAGATGAGGCTTTCTCTTTCACAAGGAGTTACAGTCTTAGAAACCCTGCCCTATAAGGTCCCTCTGAGTTGGAATTGACTCCATGGCATTGAGTTTGGTTTTCTTTCAAGTGAACCTTAATCCCCAAAGTACTATCCTTGCCTTTTGGCATTTAAAGAGGCCTTGTGCAGCAGATTTACTCAAGGAAATATGTTGTTTAATTGCTTGACTGCTGCTTGCATAAGCATTGATTGCAGATCCAAATAAGACAAAATTCTAGACAACCTCAATATTTTCTCTATTTATCATGATTCTACCTATTGGTCCAGTTGTGGGAATTTTGGTTTTGTTTACATTGAGTTGTAATCTATACTGATGGCTGCAATCTTTCATCTTCACTAGCAAATGCTTCAAGTCCTCCTCACTTTCAGCAAGATTGTATCATCTGTATATTACAGGTTGTTAATAAGTCTTCTTCCAATCCTGATGCCACATTCCTCTTCATATAATCCAGCTTCTCTGATGATCTGCTCCATATACAGATTAAGTATGGTGAGAGGATTTAACCCCAACTCTCACCTTTCCTGATTTTAAACCATGCAATAACCTCTTGTTCTGTTCCCACAACTGCCTCTTGACCCACATCCAGGTTCCACATGAACACAATGAAGTGTTCAGGAATTTCCCATTCATCTCAACGTTACCATAGTTTGTGAGTTAGTTAATTGTGCCAGCCTGGCCGATAATCACATGTGGTGCTGGTTGAAAG